TAATAATAAAAGGTCTACAAAGCGATGTAATACTTTTAAAAATCACGATCGCAACATGTATATGCATGCTTAATATTCGATGGCCAGAAAGTGATTCATTTTTGTCATGTACATCATGACTTAATATAAAATTCACTTTAAAGTGAGATATGACTAAAAAGTGACCATAAACGAACATTTTCTCAGTTCAATTAAATAGTGGCTTGGACCCGGAAACAGTATTCCATACATCACGACTTAACAAGTGGATAGCAGAGAAAGCTTAAATGTCGCCCAAACGCTGCTATTTTCGCAGAGCTTGTTCTGTTTCTGTATTTGGGCTTCCAAAGGACACGACACAAAGAGAGAAGTGCTTACAATTTACTTTTAACTATGTTCTAAAGAATTATTAAAAGATATAGCTCTAGCATTTGACAAAGGAGAACTTCCAGAATCTCTCCCAGATCAGTGCTGAATTCGGCTAAAAACTCCTCAAAGGAGCAGCTCCAAGTAGGGGTGGGCGATAGGAAAAAAATATAATTTGACGATTTTTTTCTGGGGTAATCATGATTTTTATCCCGATTCTTTTTCAAATTTATTTTTTAAGACTATTTTTCAAATTACAAAGCCACAATACAACCAAACTAATGTCCCCATCTAAAATATACTCTTACTATGTATGTTTAAGAATATTTTAAAATATATGGCGATACAGTGATTTTTCTGAAAAAGTAGATTGTGCAGTAATTTCGATCGTCCACAATCAAATATTGTGTTATCACACAGCCCCAGCCCCAACCATAATAGACGAAGCTGTAGATTGTGAGCCACAACCTGTAGGTATTTTAATTTGTTGAAATTGATCTATTAAATGCATTGTGTCTACTGTTAACGATATGTTGTAGCGAGGACGTAAACAAGGATGTAAACAATGGGAAATGCGGTTTGGCACCATTAATAATTAAGCTACAATTTCATTAGTCAAAGCTGCTTTTCCTGCGTTCTATATCTCAAATAACAAACTCGCAAAAGAACTTACACATGTTTATAACCTGAATATATATGAAAGACACTTGTCAGATTTTTTTTATAGAGCAGATGAGGTTCAGCTGAGTTCTTTCTTTGTGTCATTATCTGTCTAATTCAGACTCAAACTGATAAGGCTAACAGCTACTTTGACTGACAATATTTACACAACGCAAAAGCGTTTGCGTGTAGAGGCATGACGCTTTTAATGGCGACGTGGAGACAATCTGCAAATCACAGCACATTATGTTAGCTGACTAATCAGAGCCTCTTGAGGGCGGGTCTTTCGGGGAAACTAGGAAACATTATAGTTATTTTATTGTTAGCTGAGTAGCTGTATATTATCAAAGTATGAACAAATTATTTGATTATTATTATTATTTTTTTTTTTACAAATGAAGCACACATTGCTTTGCATCTTATTAACACAACCAAGCCTTAAAAATACACTCTGGACCAACCATTTAAAGCCTATTAAGCAAAGATTGAATAGAATTTTGCTTAAAAGGCTCTGGAATGAAATGGAGTTTCAAGATTAAATAGGGACAATTTTGTCCTGAAATTTATAAGAGGAACTATTCTATATTTCATATAGTGTAACAGAGATGTAATGTATGAAAGAAAATTAAGAGTTAAATATTTAATGTTAATAACAAATGCATAGTTTTGCCAAGCTTTGCATTAGCACAGCCAAAATAAGCACAAAAAATAAACGAAAGACAAAAGTATGATGCACATGGGTTAATATTGCGAAATCTAAAAAAATGTTGAAACAAAGCAACGTTTTCCAAAACAAATAAAATCACTTCATACCACATTTAATTAGTTTATTGTTTTTTTTTTGTCTCTATGACAATACATACAGTGCATTACAGAACTAATAAAGCAGTATATCTGACGCTTGACCTGCAATCACAGACATCAGTAGCATCCACTCAAGTGTTTATGCACCTGCAGATTTCATCTGAATTATGTATGTTTTGTCGATACATAAAAAGTGTACTGTCACTGTATTGTCATCCAGTCTAATTAAATACATTTTCTAGGCAACATGGTCTACATTAACAACTAATGGCTGCTAACAATTTAGCATCAGAATATATTAATGGCACGTAGTCTGACAGGACACAGTCTGCCACAACCCACAGTTTTCTTTTTCAGTCATTTTCTATCACTGAGAACAAATTGTTCCAGCTCAGTTGAACACAAGTGCCCATGTATTACATTAGTAAATAACTGATTGTATTGAGAGAGTTAATGAGACAATACCAGTGAGGGAAACATGATCACAAAATCCTTAAGCACTGGCATGCATCCATTGCTCTGGTGCCAAATGTGCCACCTACTCAACTACATAGCCGAATCATACACACAAAAAAATGCACTGTAAACACATTAAAATCATTTACAAAGAGCTGCATGTTAACAAAATACAGTAAAGAAAAAAGAAATGAACAGAAATAGTAGTAGTATCACTTCTTAATTTTCATGTCAGGCTGGTCTATCATACAGCGATTAAATGATTTGATGGCACATTTTCAGTTCATATGGTCAAACTGTAAATTTACAAAAACCTGTGGTATTCTGGTGTCAAACATACAGGGAGGCACAAGGATTATTCAAGAACTGTACAAGAACTTGTACCAATCGAAATTAGTGTAAATCCATCTGTTCCATCCAAACAATTTTAAATAGACAGTTACATACTTGGTTGATTTAAAATGTTGAAAATACTATTTGGATGTATTGATTATCAATGTAAAACATAAATATATATTTTTTTAAATTCCCCAGAACAACTTCATTGAGATCAATTTCTTTTTTTTCTGATATTAATTCATAGTTTAAGATAGTGACTTTGACATTTGATTTGTGTACAGTCACATTATTACTTGCTCTCAAGCCAACATCAATCACAGTGTGAAGGAAATCACAAAAGATTACAATTTAAACCAAGGGTGTCCAAACTCAGCCCTGGAGCCGGCCTGTTATGTGAAACTCCTATTCACATGGTGATTTGTTCACAGTGTGTATAAATAGTGAAATTGAATCAAAAGCAATGTCTGAAAACACTGTTCCTCATTTTCCCCAACTATGATGTCACAAGCCCCACCCACTAATGATCTGCCTAATCAGCCTAGATCAATAATAATAAATCACTGAAACCTAATCTTGTTAATCAACTAAAGCTATTCAGTCAAGAACAGCAAGTGCTTTTCAGTTCTGTAGTTTAGTTTATAATAACAGTTCAAACTGCAGTAGGCACTGTATATTACACTTTTGTCACGTTAATACATAGATCTAACATAAACATAGTTTTTGTCTCAGCTGTTTACGTGCACCTCAGATGTGTGTTCAAACTGACAAGGCTTTAAAATGCATGCAGATAGTAAACTTTCATAATGATGAATAATTGCAATGTCAAGTGAGAGCAATATACATAATAAAACCAAACAGCAGTTTAGCCTTCAGAGCGTCTGAGACACAAGCTGTAAAGGCCCACTTCTGGAAAGGGGGTGGAGAACAGAAGATAATTTGCATTTTTAAAAAAAAAGAGTTTTTGTTTTTGCATGTTATAATAAATAGTGTGTGATGTATTTTGAGCTAAAACTAGTGGGGACACTCTATAGTAAAAAGGTCTCCTATAAGGATTCAAGTTAAGGATTTAAGACTTTGCAAGGATTTAGGCATTTAGAAGGTACAAATTACAAAGAAAGAATGTTAGATTGAATTAAAATGTTCATAAATAATTCCTAATGTAATGTGACCAAATAATAGGTGAGAATTACGTTCCTGTTTACACCTGGTATTAAAATGCATTACCATCAATACAGGTGTAAATATTATCTAACATGTTTCAAACGTTTCTGAAGAAGGTACTCAAAAACACAATTTGATTGCATTATGCTTTCATTGTGAAAATCATATTTGACTGCATGCCATGGTAACATTTTACAATAACAGTACATGAATAACAATGTATTAATATGTAAACTAAACATTACTTTATTATGATTTAATGATAAGTTAAGAGGCGCACTAATCATGAACTAACTTTAACTACAACATGAGTCATAAGAGTTCATGTGTAAATAACGGCAACCTTAATTACTTGTTAGAACATGTTGTAACTGAACATATTAATTAAAGTTTAAGTATAAGCTAAATGTAACCAACATAAACTCATGATATGCTAATGTATAATTAGTTCATGACTTTACTTGAAGTGACGGTTAACTCATCCTAAACTACTCATGAACTCCTGTGTTTAAACTGTTCATGTTGATGTTGACAGAACACTTTTCTATTGTTATTAAGTGTAAGCGCACTAGACTGATGTAAGGAGCTCACAAGTAGATAATGATGATGTGCCCCTCTAAGTAAAGTCATGATATAACTATATCATGATATAATTATGTCATGAGTTTAAGATGGTTAAATTAAGCATAAGATAATGTGGTAAATGATACATTCATTTACAAACAAACATGTACTAACAAGTTATTCACACATAAACTCATGTGACTCATGAGTTCATGATTAGCGAGCGTCTTAACTCATCATTTATTCATAATAAAGTAATGTTTAGTTTACATATTAATACATCATTATTTATGTACTTTTATTGTAAAATTTTACCCAAAAAACACATACTTTCTGACTTTTGACAAATGAGTGATTGTCATTTTTAAGTGTGTTATACAGAAAATCATAGTTGGCTTCCACATCGTTTTTTATACACGCTGTTTAATCAACTAGCATGAGTTAATTCATTCAATAGCACTTGTGGATTGCACTGAGTGCTACTTTTCATCATGAGACATGTATCTGAATTTAATAATAGGAAGAAAAATTAGTAATGCATCTACACATGTGATTGGATAACTTAAGCACATGTTCATACCAAGTGGAAACAAGGCCTCTATTATAAAACGTACCACATGCCTTTATTAAAATGTGCCTAAAAGTGTGAGGGTGGGATGCTGAATAAATAAAAAGATTTAACCTGATTTATTTAAGTTTGCAATGTTAACACAAAACCTTCTGGCACTTGAAACTTTTATCAAATAATCAAAAATGAAGAAAAGCACTAGTAGATCACTGCAAACTGAGAAGCTCCACATCAAAGATGAGGGTTGCATTTGGGGGAATAATCCCAGGATGGCCTTTATTACCATAGGCAAAATCAGGTGAACAGGTCAGCTTTGCACGCTGTCCAACGCTCATCTAAAAGACACACATATATAGCTGTTATTTATTATTACATTTAAATACTGTATTATCAGCAGATTGACAGAATAGGTGGTGGTAGATTTCAGTAAGAACTCATTTTTTTATGATTTTCTAAGTGAAAAAAGCACCATTACACACCTGCACAACACCTTCTTCCCAGCCACGAATCACTTCCTGTTTACCAATCTTGAACTTAAATGGCTTGTCACGGTCACGGGAAGAGTCAAACTTCCGTCCATCTGTCAGGGAGCCTGAAAATTTGAGAATAGAAGGACAAGGCCAGAAAAACAGGAAATGAGGTTTGAGCATCAGATAAATGCACTACTTTATTATTGTTCTGTCCTCTCGAGGGGATTTTCCGTCCACGTCTAATAGAAGCAAATTACCAGGATATGAGAGATGTATCTCTTTCAGGAATAAGGCAAATGTTGTGGTGTATATTTACATAAACATGAAACAAGCAGAAAATGACCACTAATCTGTTCATTAACAAAAAAACTATGGCTGTTTCTCAATATGCGTTCTTCAGCGGTCTAGCGTCCTCTTGTTCTCGTGCAACGTCATCATCAGCTACCAAAGTTCAGTTCCAATACTCAAGACCGCAAGAACGGAGGATGCGTGAAACTTCCCGGATGTGTTCTTGATATCGAGAACGCACTGATGCAGACTTGAGCACCGAACTTGCTCTGGAAGTCCCAGAAGTCATTGCGACTGGAGGTGGGAAGTGCAGCATTTTATTTAGATTCATTATTAAAGTTCAGAGATGTAACTTATTTACCTCGGGAGTTTCCCCTAAATGAAACGGTGAACGTAAACATTAACATAAATATCTTAATAAAGGAATAAACACATTAAGCGTGTTTGTTTGCTGAAATTCGTATTAAAATGTGTTTTATTTATATTGTGCAGAGTATATTTATAATGTTTTTATGCAAAGTATATATTTTGAACAGGGGGGAAACAATAAATCGTTGTATGAGTGCTGTAATGTTAAAAAAAATTCCATTTAAAACGCGTAAATGTCACGTGACCATCAGGAAGAACGCAGCATCCCATTTCTCAAAGGACGCGTTCTCTGCCCTCGCGGCCTCATGAGTTCCTGGCAAGACCGGTCTCCACATGAACGCAAGTCAGTTCTCTGCGTTCTTGGAATTGAGAAACATTTATTTATTTGCCATATATATATATATATATATATATATATATATATATATATATATATATATATATATATATATATATGTATGCGTGTGTGTGTAGCATCTTAATGTGAATGCAAAGTAACTAAGGTTTAAAATCAGTTTAATAAGAACTGTCAAATTATAGGTGAAATAATGTTCATTCAGCATAACATATATATTTATGTAAATTTATTCAATCATTTTCTTTTCAGCTTAGCCACTTTATTAATCAGAGGTCACCACAGTGGAATGAACCACCTTTTTATGAAACAATTAAACAAGTGTTTACATTTTTGAAAAATGTCTTTGCTGACAAACAGATAAAAATGAAGTATATGAAATAATGAAGTATAAATAAGTTGAATAACGGATAATTCGTGTTTTGTGTCTGCACTTAACATCTGCACATCTTAAAGTCTTTATTATGTTTTTTCTTGTTTTAAATACACTTGACAAGATTTTCTGGTATATGAACAATTACACTGTTTTCATAAACTCCTAGGTCCAAACCTGTTTACTGATTTGCAGACAAATAATTCTTAAGAGCTTGAAATCAAAGATGTCCCTTTCCTTCAAGAATGGGCAGTAGAACTTGCTTGAGTGGCCCTATTTGAAAAAAAATGTCTTACAAGCAAATAGACAAGCTAAAGCTATAATATAAAAATGACTCAAGTACTTAACCTGTTTGGAAATAAAACAGTAATAAATGTGTGAAAAATATACTGATTGTGACAGTGTAAATGTGATATTGACTGAATATTCATTCATTCTTTTTCTTTTTATTAATCTGGGGTTGCCACAGTGGAATGAACCACCAACTCATCCAGCATATGTTTTGCACAGCGGATGCCCTTCGAGCCACAACCCATCACTGGGAAACATCCATTCATCCATCCACACACTCATTCACACACATACACTACAGACAATTTAGCTTACCTACTTCACCTAACACATGTCTTTTGACTTGTGGGGGAAACCCAGAGGAAACCCACGTGAACATGGGGAGAACATGCAAACTCCACACAGAAATGCCAACTGATACATCCGTGGCTCGAACCAGCAACCTTCTTGCTGTGAGGCGATTGTGCTAACCACTGCACCACCGCGTCACCCTGACTGAATTTACCTATTCATTTTTTATTGTATTTTATTTACATTTTTTCTTCATTATAAAAAGATGGAGGCTTTAACTGTATTTAATGATAGCCAAGCTGGGACCCTAAAGTTGAAGTTTAGTTTGGGTTGGGTTTGTTATTAGGGTAAAATATCGAAACTTTCCAGTGTTGCATTCTGAATTAATAAAAGTTAATCACTACAATTACACTGTTATTACTTTTTGAAAGTGCAGTAAACAACATGACAGTCATTAGTTAGTCAAAATAATAACTATTATAATAAACTGGCCACATAATATGCAAAAACTGTAATGTTGTCTTGCACAAATTGAAAATATTTTTTCTCTTTCTCTGTATGAAGAAAAATAAATGAAAGATAATGCATGTAATGCAAATAAAGCAGAAAAAGAAACAATGTAGCCTGATGCAAGTTGGAAATTACAGACGAGGGTACATTTGGTACAATTTTACATTATATCAGTTTTTATATCAAATCTATGAATTTATATTAGTGTTTCATAAGGTCGACATTTTGTATGTAAAAACAATCTTTAAACGGTGTAATGGCCTTGATAAATTCTTTAAACTGTGTAATGGCCTTGATAAATTCTTCCTAAATTTAAATTACCTATTATTCATCAAATAATCTGCCTGCCAGACGGAGATTTCTTAGTTAGTTTGAACGATTAAGCGGCAATCACACAACATCCCAGGGGTCGAGTCACTCCAGACAGCGATAATCCGTCTCTCCGACGCGATCCAACAAAGACGGAATCACTCGAGCGTCTATTAAATCTGCTCAGTCTCAGCTGTCAGACGAGGATCATCTGCGGACAAATGCCACTGCGTGCAAACAATACACAACTAATGATGCACAATGGCTTGATTTGTCTAGACTATATTTGATCTTATTGCGACTCTAAATATGACTGTGTTTTCTAACCTCTGATTGCACTTCTTTTTGGAAAGATGCGACCATTTGTTTAAATCGAGTAATTTTAAACATAATTCTCCCATTTTTTAAAAATTCTAACCCAAACTAAAATTAATAAACTATCACAAGAATACAAAATCATTTCACCCATTAACATAAATGATGTGAATTTCAACTCACCAACATAATGCACCACACATGTCTGTCCTTTTTTGGGGAAAGTCCTCCCTGTAAAAGCAGCGCCAGCAGCAGGAAACAGGAATAATGCTGTTAAATGCACGCAACTTAACAAACAAATACTTGTAGAAACTGTAGCGGGTAATTTTACCATCTCCGGGGGTTATGGTCTCGATTTCCACTCCCATTTTGTCCCGCTCGTGTGTCTCTGAAGAGCCTAACCGCACACTGCCTCAATCACAGCTGTTTGAGCAGAGGAGTGATGATGTCGGGTCACGTGACCGCGAAGAGAGGACGGCCAAAGGGACCAATGGCATCGCGCTAATTTAACATAAACCCTACTTTACTGACCCAGTCACTTTAAATATGACCAGTGATGACGAGTGAGGAACGTTCATGTTAAATCATGCAAGAAACATTATATCTTGATGAGGTGTGGAAAGTAGGAAACATCTATCTATCTATCTATCTATCTATCTATCTATCTATCTATCTATCTATCTATCTATCTATCTATCTATCTATCTATCTATCTATCCATCCATCCATCCATCCATCCATCCATCCATCCATCCATCCATCCATCCATCCATCCATCAAAAATGTTGGATTATTTTAACCCAGGGGTGGCCAACCCTGTCCCTGGAGAGCTACCTTCCAGCAGATTTCAGTTGCAACCCATATCAAACACACCTGAACCAATTAATTAGGACCTAAACACCACGTGACAATTACAGGCAGGTGTATTTGATATGGGTTGCAACTGAAATCTGCAGGAAGGTGGCTCACCAGGAACAGGATTGGCCACTTTAACCCAATGCTTTGTGTAATTCGTACTAAACGGCAAAGTTAAGTAGCCTAAGTTATTAAATGATTTTTTTTTTCTCAGTCACTTTGGTGCATTTCTCACAACACTATTTATATTTGCACAAAAGTTAATGCATTTTTCAAAACGATTAGCCATTTGTGCATATCAGTAGCAGTTTCTCATTTCTTCCAACAAATTGTAAATGCTTTTAAACATGCATCAATTGCTTTCATACAACTCTCTGCTGTAAATTGCTCACACATGAACATTATCATGTGTTATATCATGCCAGTCAAAATTAACTAAACTTGTGGATGCTGAATAGTCATTTCATATAAAACTAATAGTCATCTAAATGTCTAAAATTGAAAAATGTCTTCTAAATTGAACAATTTCATGAATGACCTATTACAGACCTATGTATGTTGTAAGTTCAGTTCCAATATGTACTGCGATATTGTTTACAGTTGTGCACATTTCTACCCAAAGAGAGTTTATGTTTGTTGTAAATAAGGGTGTATTGATTCTTTTGCACATTGCTGTGAATAAATTAGAATTGCAAAGAGCAAATGCAGTAAAAATGTGAAACATACATATTCATTGTCTTGTACTCAGATACCTTACTAAATGCAGTAATGTCTAACTTTTCTGTAGTTTTCAAATGGCTGTGCAAATAGTATAGTGCTGTCTTGAGTATTTTCAGGAGGTGCCACCAAAATCTGACTTTATTGCATTGGAAAAAAGGTACAGAGTCATTATGAAAACATAACAAAGCCATTTGAATATCTTGTTCATAAACAATGGTGTCAGGACTTTTCATCTTGATCATTCTCCGAGAGGCACTGCAGAGTGAAAAACACTCAGGGCTGCCATATTGAAGTGTCATTCCAATCTCAAGTGCTCAAAACTGGTCACTGTAAAAGGCTCTTCAGGATGAAGAATTTAGAAGGGTACAACAGAAAGACACTTTGAACCTTTGCACAAAGGAGTTGTTTGGTGTCACATCAGTGCGTTCCATTCAGAAGGGCTCATCCCTATGCCCCTATATCTCTTTGAAGCTGTAGGCCTATGTCAGTTCAGAGAGTAAACGCTTTGAAAGGATTCGGGTGTAAATTACATTATATTTTCATAGATGGTACATAGTGTGTAAGTTCATAATGTTTCATGTTTCATGTATGTCAGATGTGTAGTGTGTAAAATGTCCAGCAGGGGGCAATAACACATTAGTTGCATTCCAAATGAACACTGTACAGTATGTATAAACTGTGCACTTACACGCTCAGCCATAGAGTATGGGTTTAGAGTTATCCAAATGGAAGTCTTAATAATATTTTACGAACTTTACAAAATAGGGCCTTTTTATTTTTGCTTGCACAATGCAAAATAATCCAATTTTACTACTTATAGCTCCTTTCACTTCAACTGCGTGAGCAAATCTGTGACCAGTGAGTGTTCAACATTCCTTACTCATGTTTGAATAAATACATCATCCAGGTATTTCAAGTACACTTTTTAGAATTTTCTCTGACTGTGAATACACTGCACACACCATTTATACTACAAAATGGCGTAGAATACTGTGCAAGTACGCAACTTGGGATGCACACATATTGTAAGGGTCTGTGTAGCTTTAGGTATGTGAAAAAGTAGACCAGAGGACAGCAATTGCAACAGCAGTCTTGTCCCGGAGGTCACTGCTTCATTCAGACTTCATCCAGGCTTTAATTCTTAAAAAGCCCAGTGCCAAAAATATATGCTGTAATACAGCCCAGTGCCAAAAAGATAATGTCATACAGCCCAGCCCAACTGAAATGTTGGTTCGATTTTGCAAAAAATAAAGATTAACTGCTGAAGAACAGATATTTCACTGATTTCTTCACCCAAAAGAATCAAACAAAGCTAACATTAGCTAATTTTCAAGTTTAGTTCTAGAGTAGTACAGCTATTTGATAACCGCTTCCGCTTAAGATTGTTTTGCACATAGCACCACCATAACTGATTCCTGATTTTTTATTTACTTATTTTTTATTTTTTGAGCAGGAAAATACAAATGACTGAATTCTCAATGACTAACTATAATAATAAAATACTTACAAGTATATTTAATTTAAATATTGCACATCCCTCCCATGTAAAAAAAAAAAAAAAAATTGCAGTATGTTAAATCATGCTTTGTCCTAAACCCTTCTTTTTGAAGTGTATTAAATCATGCTATTTATGTGACTGTACATGCAAAAATGCTACATTTTAGCATTGCTATTTTAAATCATGCCAGAAACTTGGTAATACTTGCTAGTAACATATATGTGTCTGTCTGTCTATTTGGGACAATGTGATGAATCATAGTAGAAACATTCTACATGCTAAAAGTTTTTATTAAATATGTTAAATCCGACTTGAAAGATAAAACTTTAGTAACAAATATCCTAGCTCTGTACTTAATCATGGCAGAAATATATTAGAAACTCTTCTGAACTAGCCTATTTAAAACCTTCGAAAGCCAACTTCAAAGTTTTGTCTCCTTATTTTCCTAGTTAGTACTATATATATGAAGAGTTTAAATGCTAAAACCTCTAAGTGCTGTCTGAAATTTTCAACTAAAATGAGCTTTTTTATCACGTGTGTAGTTTCAGTAATATTTACTCTCTGCACAACAAATAGGTTATTTTCTTTGCATTTAAAGTGAAATAACAACATAAACAGGAGGAGAAAAACAAAAACTTTATAGGAACATTACAGATGGCAATAAGTTTTTGCATCTGAACTGTAGTAATCTAGTAACTCTAGTAATCTAGTAATCATTGTGTCATTAAACTGTCAACTGTTAAATATAAGTGCTGTTTACACTCACATCAATCTATTTGTCTGGATATGGTGAAGAAATACACACTGCACCTTTAAGCACACTAATGTTTTTAAATTGTCCTGAGTGCCTTGCAGCACTGTATGGCTTGAATGTCTTTTTATTCATCTTGTCAGCTCATTAGAAGAGATCTCCATGCCCGGAAATGAGTCTGTAAGATTAGTGAGACTTTTAAAAAGAGTCGGGGTCCCCTTGAGCAGGACTTTAAAAAAATCCCAAAACCTTTACACTGAGATGAAGCAAAGCATGTTCATGATCAATAGCTGCTACAAAGTTACAAAAGTAGAGACAGTCACTGATTTCTTCATAGAATTATTTCTTCTTCTCCTTTCAAGCCGTTCTCTGTCCTGCGTAAACCAAGATAACACAAAATGATGACAGTTATTACAGCTATTGCAACTTCCCAAGAATCTTGTGCAAAACTGAAATATAGTGTAAGAATTTGAACATCACTGATATAATACAGGCTTGCGTTTCTTCTAAACTAAAATAATTCTTAACCTTTAGTTTAAAAAGACTGCTTCAGTATTGAAGGGAAGTTGTGGTAACAGACAAGAAAACAACAGAAGCACGCTATTTTTGCAGTGAGCATTGCATATCTCTCATTATCATTGTCTCACATCTGTAGAAAGCATTAATGTTGCATGCAAAATAAAGGCTCATCAGAACCCTCAAACTGACAGAAACACATACCCTGCTTTGCTTAAAGCTTCCTGGATTTTCCGCCGTCGCTCTTCATTGATGGGATAGAAGTAAAAAAGCACCATGCCAATGAGAATCAGGCAGATGGGCACAGGGGCAAAGAGAATCCGGAGTGCGTAAATGACCTTTTCATTGTGTTTACAAGCTCCAGGCTTGTATCCTACAAAGCTAAAGAGGTGAGGAAGAATTTTAATAAAGCTTTGAGGGTTTCTAAATGATGATTCAGTGCACAGCAAAATAAATAAACGGCAACATCTTTAGACAACACTTATTCTCATTCAGTATTGTTTTGATTTAATATTTTTAATAACACATACTGTATGAAACAGTCCGACTGGAAAAAGCTCTTACTGTAGTACCAAGGTGGACACTCCAACAGACAATCCTCCTCCGAATTTGTTAAAGAACACATAGCAGGAGTAGAACAGTGGCTCTAGATCCTGGCACAACGGGTTCTTGACTTTAAAGTCATCCACTACATCTGGCAGCATCGACCTGAAATAAAAACACCTTGGCTGTGTAGTATATTACATCCTTAATTACATAAAATATTTGAATGCAAATAAGATACTGAAGCGTACCAAACTGTGTCAGCTAACATTGTTTATGTCATACTGTTAGATAATCACTCTTAGCATCAGCAATGGTTTAAACCAGAGACTCGCTAGTATAGTTTTGATAGATAAGGATTGTGATTAAGGTCAAGATAATTGTAGTGATATACATCAGTTTCATGTGAGTATGCTCTTGATGCTCTTGATAGTCATTTTACAAAAACCAAATTAAATAAAAAACACTGCAGTATTTTGGTGCCTTGGTAATTAGTCTACCATTAATAATGAAATGTGTATATTCCATACAAAGTATGAAGCCGATTTTTTAGATCATGTCACATGACTAGAAGTGCACTCATTACATTCTGAAAAGTTGAGATGTTTTCAATTGGTGCGCCTGGAAAACTTAAGACACAATATGTGAACAGCCCCTTAGCCTACTTTGGAAACTGTAAAAATGTACTTAAACATACATCTCACAGCAGTTTGTAGGTCAAATGAACACTACGGGGCAGCATAACAAATTTTACACGTATTCACACATTGCAAATTGGTCCCAACACAAACAACTAAAGAAACGCGTATCGTTGGGAGGTCTTGTTTGGGGTGGTATCAATAGGCCCCGCAAACACATGCCCCAAAATATATACAGTGCCCTGTAATGTGTAAATTTGTAATCTGAAACATGCCAATAAACGTACAGTGCTCAGCAAATATAAGTACAGCTCTCACAGATCTCTCTTTTAAATTCATATTTTTAATAGGAAGCTCTACAGTATTATATGTGTGCATATAGGTTGGATTAGTCAGCACTGAAGCCAAATCTGGAGATTATTTACAAAATTACCAAAAACTAGTACACCCAAATTTACATGTTATATAAAAATATTAAATACAAATTTAAAAAAGAGGAAAAATCAAGAGAAGCAAAAAAAAAAGAAAAAAATAAATAGTTGAAATTTTGTAGGTTGTAAGTTTTTTTTTAATTATTAAAATTTTATTGTATTATCTTTCAATTTCTAAATGTTTAGAGACTAAAATATTACTATAATAAATATACCTGTTTCATAAATCTGTTTTGTTGAAATTCACCAAAATACATTGCCTTTATTCACTGAGAAACAGATAAAAATATTCCTTTTCAAAATGGGGTTTAGTCAATTATGCTAAGCACTTTAGCTGTCCAACAAACCTAGACTGCACATTTCAGTACATCCACATTGTTGTTGATATGTATGTATACATTTTAAATGAATATGTGTACCTTAGTAAATATATGGACAACTTAGTTTTGCAATGTTTCTTTTCACGCATACCTTTGTTTATTTTGTATATATTACCTTGGTAATTATATGAATATGGACTTTTTTCACAAGACTGTTATGACACATTTAACTGTCATCATAATCTTCAATCTTCAATTCTAGAAAGTTTTTAATATTTAGATTTGTTTTCAAATGTATGAACATTTATATGCATTTATGTGTGTATTATATTATCACTTATGCAAGTTGTTTCTAATGCAGCATCTATGGGGCCGAGAGTAAATTTGACGTTATTCTCTCGTCTGGCTGCTGTTATCAGTCTCACACTGTGTGTTCCTTTTTCTGAAAGACTTTATAACACTGTCAAGGCATTTTTCTTTTATTATTTCAGCAAAATTGTAAAAATATATATTGTTGTACCCTCCCATTCACTGTGCTCCAAGTTTATCTAACTATGATGACATCTGCTGCTGAGACACCCAGAAATGTGAAAAGGTCTATTGTATTTACATTAGTTGGTTATTATCTGAGTCTCAAAGTGTCTTCAGAAAGAAAAAAATACATTTAACTTGAAAAAAGCTTGCTGAATATACAGTTTTGTGAGAAATATCTTTTGATCTGATAGATTACTTTGCATGGACAGGAAATGACAACAAATGTGCAAAGATGCTTTGTTTCACAATTCTTTTTGATTTATAAGAATTAAACGTACCCAGTTTTGATAGACCTAGTTTATGTTTATTTATTTATTTAAATATCTTATTATAATTATTTTGTTTCTTATTATGTTTACTGGTTATGTGAATGACTCATTGGTAAACAAGTTCAAATAACAGATCGTATTACTTAAGTAAAAAAAAAAAAGTTTTGCGAATGACATTTCACGTTTTTTAGGCAGATTTATAATGATAATAAAGAGTATTTTATCACTCCCTTCTATAAAAATATTCTTTCTCACTTGACTTTGTGCAATAAAACAGCATGGGAGGACTGGGGTCGAATTTAAGGATGACATCATTCTAAATCAGCCAAACATAATAATGGCAATCATATCAACTGACCACCATCTGGGTTTGCGTAATGTGTCAGTAATGTAAGAGGAGAACTCTGGATGAAAGTAAAGTCAGTGAAAGAGGTATTATATCAGTTACCAAGGGAGTAGATAGAGGGCTGCCAGACTTGTGCCAGATATCACCGACATAATAATGAAGACGGGTAAATTACTGTTCACTAGAGATATTACAGTTAGAGCTGGGATATAAACCTGCAGAAAAGAGGAGAAAGAAGGATGAAAACTGTTCAGGCTGCATTTATTATTAATATTATTGGCTGTGATTGTAACAGTATTAATATTCTGTTTCTGTGCTATCATGAATGATCCACTTAGAAACCCAAAATGATGCTCACTGAAAGGCCGATGAATATGGTGGTCTTCTTTCCTATTTTGACTAATATTGTCTGCCACATTGGGATGGATATTGTCGCTGATGTCTGCACAAGAATAGATTACATGTCAGCAGCTAAAAACATAATTCTTTGTTACTCATAAATTAATGTAATTTGTAAAATAAACATGAGCATTTAACATATGAATCTTTTTTTTTTTGCTTTATTATTATATAATACTGTACTTTAAAGGGCTAGTTCTCCCAAAAAATAAAATTCTATAATAATTTACTCTCCCTCCACTTGTTTCAAACCTTAATGAGTTTCTTTCTTCAGGTAAACACAAAGGAAGATATTTTGAAGAATGTTGGAGACTGATATTCACTGACTTTCAAAGTATTTCCCCTTCTGCTATGGATGTCAATTTCAATATTTTTCAAAATATCTTCTTCTGAGTTCAACTAAAGAAAGATATTTATCAAGGTTTGGAAAAAAACTAAGGATTAAATGATGAGTATATGTTTGGGTGAACTGTTCCTTTTTATAAACAATTTCATGATTTAATATATGTAGAATAATGCGTTTTAATGTATTTATTGTTCTTCATGTAGTAACAGATGAAAAGTAAATTCTTTTTTATATATTATTTAAAATGTAATATTACAGAAGATACATTTTTTGTGTCTTTATAGAACAGATCACCTTAACAAAAAAAGCTCCTTCTATTATACCTGATGTAATACATTTTGAAATAATGGATCCCTCACCAGTAATATAAGAACAAGATGCTGGAAATATCCTCCCATATTTGCTGCATGAGTACAGAAGAGGGCAAAATTCCCCTGAGCCATCTGAAACAAATATTCGATATATAATTCCAGAATATAATTGGAATATCATTCCAGCAAATGTCATACCTTACAAATCCGTATTTCTAAATTAAATTCTTAAACTAATAAGAATCCACTCTATGACTAATTTGAAATCCATCCAAGAAACCAGGGCATCTTTCTTGGTAAAAACCACGTTTGATAAATAACAGACTCAAGTGCTTCAAAATAAGATAATAATAATGCAATAAAACATCTGACCTGAAAGGCTAGCGAAGAAAAGAGGAAGCCAAACACAAGCCGCACATATGGAGTGTGTCCCACAACCATCTTCATTCCGGTTAGATAGGGGACATTTATGCGGTCCAGGTTACTCAGAGGCGCTGAAGTGAATTAAAGAGTCATGCAAATCATTTTATTCAGTCATTATATTATAAAATGTATCATGTCCAGCCACTTACAAGCCTAAAAATATGTTGATTTATGAAATACATATTAAAAATGTTTGTGTGTTTAGGGAAACATCATAATATAGTTTTTGCTACACAAACAAAATGTGTCAGACCAAAACGAATCCCTTATTTGCACTGTTTTGCATTTTGTTGCTTATGATGAGAACACAGAATTCATTCAGGAAACGAATGTGATCAACAACATTTTCAGAGATGACTAATCTAAACACCTCTAACTGGCTATACTGTATTCGTAAACTCAACAGAAACGTGTGATTCAGAGCTGCTGAATAAAAAAAGAAATGTGATGCACTGTGCACAGGTAGACTGTTGTGAACTGGCACCTTTTAATAATTCTCACATTAAGTGCAACAGCTATAACTGTTAACAAAAAAAAACACTGACATTTTGGCTGTTTACTGATGAACAACAGATGCTGGAATTGCAAACCATGTTAACGCATTTAAACTTACCCAACTGTTCCTTCACTCCAAGAAAAAGTATGAGGCAGCACAGAAAGTACAGCATTCCTAACACAAGTGCGCCAGTCAAATAGGCTCTTCTCTAGAAATCAAAAAGGTGTATATTCAGCTAAAACTTTTCAACATCAGTGCTTTCATTTCAAAATAGCAACAACCCATCAAGCATTTTTTCTTTGTGTTTTTGTTTTAAAGATATCTAATAGACATCCAAACATTAGTTTTGGCTAAAGCAAGACAATTTGGGCTGTCAGCAAAAATCTAATAGAGGTCTAAAAATAGTCCAGAAATATACTACACTCTCAGAAATAAAGGTACAAGTGCTGTCACTGGGGAGGTACTTTTTTAAAAGGGATACATTTGTACTAGGGTCCTAATTTGTTCCTCAAAGGTATACACTACCTGACAAAAGTCTTGTTGACGATCCCAGTAGTAAGAGCAACAAATAATACCTTGACTTCTATTTGATCATTTGGAAAAGTGGCAGAAGGTAGATTTTTGCATCTCAATCATCACAAATATTGACCTATTGGAACCCACATGGACCCAAGATTCTCACAGAAATCTGTCAAGTTTGGTAAAGGAAAAATCATGGTTTGGGGTTACATTCAGTATGGCGGCGTGCAAGAGATCTGCAGAGTGGAAGGCAACATCAACAGCCTGAAGTCCCAAGACATTTGTGCCACCCATTACATTACAAACCACAGGAGAGGGCAAATTCTTCAGCAGGATAGCGCTCCATCTTATACTTTAGCCTCCACGTCAAAGTTTCTGAAAGCAAAGAAGGTCAATGGGCTCCAGGTTTGGCCAGCCCAGTCACCAGAAACGAACATTATTGAGCATGTCTGAGGTAAAATGAAGGAGGAAGCATTGAAGATAAATCAAAAGAATCTTGATGAACTCTAGAACTCCTGCAAGAATGCTTTCTTTGCTATTCCAGATGACTTTATTAATAAGTGATTTGAGTCATTGCAGAGATGTATGGATGCAGTCCTCCAAGCTCATGGAAGTCATACACTATATTCATTCTTTTTTTCCACTGCACCATGACCTTATTTTCTATACCGTAAATTATTTGTTTCATGACAAGACTTTTGTCTAAGAAAAGTCAGATCTTACTGTCCTAATGAAATACTTAAAAATCAAAGCATGATCATATTTTATTTAGGTAAAAACAGCGTAATCTAGAGGCCTTTGTGTTTCATATAAGCCACTTCTGATACTAAATGATCAACTAGAAATCAGGTTAGTATTTGGTGTTCCTAAAACATTGATAGACGACAAGACTTTTGTCAGGTAGTGTATATCATTATCTAAAATCTGTCAAAAGGTAAGCAGTTGTGCTTTTTGGGTATTGATATGTACCCTTGAGGTATTCATCTGGACCCTTTTGGTACAAATTTGTACCTTTTGAAAGGGTAACACCCGAAGTGCTCTTGTTTTTTAGAGTACCTATTTTATTAGAGTGTAGCCATCACTTAGACAGGAATGAATGATTAAACATGTTAAAACAGTCTAATTGATGACTAGTCAATATTTTTAGACCAACAGCCTAAATTTAGCTTTGCTTTAACCAATACATCTACGTTTGGATGTCTATTAGACGACTTTTAGCACACAAAAAAATGCAACACAGGCTCATTCCAAAACTGTACCCCATATACAATTCTGGAGAGAGTGAAATACATCCCAGTAGGTGTGTTTTTTTACAGTTTTTGTTTTCGCAAATCCCCCAGAGGCCGCTGTGTCTGCTTTTTGAGATCTCAAATTTATCTTGCAGGTAACGAAGGGCGGGAGGGAATGTCGCGGGGGCACTTTTGATCATTTTGGAAGGGCACTTTCTATCCAAGACTGAAAAGGGCATGTGCACTGCACAGGTTGAGCCCTATGTGTGCACGTGCCTGCGGCTGTCAACTGACTGACTGATTGAATGACTCTTTCTCCTCCTTCCCTAAACACAACCAATAGTGTTTTCAAAAGCACTGATTGACCAGTGCCCACCCACTTCTCTAAACCAGACTGACAGTGTTTTCAAAAGGAATCCAGAAAAAGAAGCCCTCACAGCCTCCTGATTTTTAGCATATTTTCTGATCTTACCACATTATCACCCTGTTATTTACTTTTGTTTTTGTCTTAGCTGCTTTCTGAAACCTTTCTTCAACGCAGGCAAGCATGAAAAAAACGGCATCATACAGCCCCAGTGTTTGTTTTAAAGACGACATGCAGCCATAGATAGCTCTGGCTACATGGTTTGTGATCTCCAGAAATGTATATAGGCTACATTTTCAGAACGAGCTTGTGTTGAAACAAATGCTTGCTAGGAACTAAATAGGTTCCACAAATTGCATGAAAATGATGTTCTGTACAACTCACTGTATTTTGTAAAGTGTCAGAAATGCCATCCAGTGGGCCAGTGTAGTTTCCGGAAAGCTCTTGCGTGCTGTTCTGTAAACTGCAATCGTGTGTTCTCTTGGCATGGTGAACCCCGACTATCTGCCCCTGAATGGTGGCTCCTGCCAGTGTGGCGAACACTTCCATGCCCATTCCTGTATCATGACATCTCATTTAAGCATACAAACTGAGAAGTAACAGAACAATGGTTATAAATATGATGCAAACTTCACATACTGTTACAAATGTCATATAAGTCTAATAGAAAGGTATTTATATAATGGATTACTATGAATCAAAAATAATTCAGACAACAGTTAGTGTGACGATATTTACATAACTATCAATACTTTTCTGTCAACCCTTAGCCCCAATGACAGCTTGTATGGTATCCTGATCCTGTCAACCGGGTTCATAAAAACGGAACTTCAGAATTTTTCAATCAGCATTCAACTGCTGGTTTCTGGTTCGAGTCATGGCTGATTCGAGTCCCGGCTGATCCAACTGAAAGGCTGTGGAGTGTGCATGTTCTGCCTGTTCACGTGGATTTTTTCTGTTTGCTCTAGTTTCTCCCAAGGCATGCCATATGAATGAATTGTGTCAAATAAATGGGATGTAGTATATATGTGTGTGTGGGTGTTTCCCAGCACTGGTGGTTCACGAGTTCTTCGTTGTACTCTCTGTGCTGGGTTGCAGCTGGAAAGTCATCCAAAAAACATGTGCTCAAAGTAACTGGTGGTTCATTCCGCTGTGGCAACCAGTGATGTGTCATTCTTGAACAATTTGTTTATTTTGAACAAATCTTTTGTATGACTCAGAAACAATGAATCCTTTCAGTGAGTGATTCGTTCATTTGCGCATGCGCACATTTGTGCAGGTGGAGTAAAAGATTATTTCCTTTGAGTCTTCTATTGGGTTTGAATCATTCTTTCGTTACATCAAAGACAGAAGCCAACCATATGCATTTAGAGCTGGTAAAAGATTTGATTCATTCATCTCTCAAGTCCTTGGGTTTGAGTCATCTCTTTTTACATGCTGTCACGTGATGAACGAACGACTCAAAAACCAAAGGATTCAAACAGTGAATTAATCATGGCTCCTTTTGGCTCAGACTGTGTGCTTTGGTTAGGCGTATAAGGGACTGTCTGTGTGACATGAACAAACCCATCAAATCTGAAGACATGCCAGAACAGGTGAGCTGACATAATCATACACAAAGACCATGTTGAATAAATGATTATTTTCTCTTCAGCATTCTAGTTATGACTTGTTTGGTGTAGTTGTAGATGAGTTTGAAAGCAACTCGAAAATGAACGAAAAGATTTGTTTTTCTCACTGAACGAGACTCAAAGGTCAGAGTAAAATGATCCGAACTTCCCATCACTAGTGTCAACCCCTGATAAATCAGGGACTAAGCCAGAGGAAAGTGATTGAGTGAGTTAAAAAGAGAAATGGTTTAACTGTATTTTTACCTAAAGTGTTTATTAAAAACAAGTGCAAAAACAGACTTCCCTGAGCTGTACTTCCACTGTCTCTGGCTGGAGAAAGGATGTTTCTTCACTGATGATAAGTTTATCATTAAGAAAAACAGACCTATTGTTCTCTCAATTTTTGCCTTTTTCTTGATAGGACAGTACATAGACCAGTGCAGAGAGCATGTTTCAGAGAGAGGACGTTATCAAAAACCTTGGGAGAGAAATTGAACTTCTTTGTACTGTACCTGAGGTGAATATTTCCGAGTGTTGCCAATGAGACTATCGGCTCCAAAAATATTCTGTTGATTTTAACTCTGCTTCCTTTTATTCAAATTCACATTCCAGTCCAAAGCTCAAAGGTTTCCATCCCTGTTTTTTTATTTATTTTTTTATTTACCCTGTTGAAAGTGCTTAGTAACTTGATCTTATTGGTGTGATTGATACTATTTTCCAGTAAGATAAAAAAAAAAAATCAATGCATGGCTGATTATTTTCTGATATTTCCTGATTTCTTTTCATCTTTCTCTCTATTGGGATTCATATGTATTTGTGTAAGCTGTTTCATCAAACTGAACCTAAGACACAATGCAATTTCACCTAATCATCTCTTGGTGTTTTTGCAGTTTTATTTTCTTACTGTATCCAGTAGCTGAGTCTCGATCCTTCTGATTTCCCCCAAGAAACATGTTTAGGGAGGAATATGGCACATGGTAGCACTGAGAGGCAGAGAGAGGGAAAACTACTTTAAAGGCAAATGTAAACGTGTACAAAATCAGCTGTTTGCTTATTATACAGTAATAAAGAGTACTATATTTCACTGTAGAAATTTCAGCTTGTTATCATCATGTGGTGGCCACCCGTATTTCCAAATGTATTGCAAAATATGCATGAAAAAACATAAAATGGCTTTTTATTATTTTGTAAGGTTCTCCGGCATTTATTTATAATAATTCCAAGGTACAACATTGCTTAATAAATATATATCTTGTTTTGACCCTCTCATCGGAACCAATTGAATAGGTGTTCCAGATTTTAGATCCAAAAGTAAAGACCCGCTAGTATGATTGGCTAACAGTCTGCATATTTAACCAATGGAAACTTCTGCATGAGCTGTATGTTTGACAGACTACATTCTTCATAGATGGCCACTGCTGAGACTTAATGACATTTAAAAAATGAGTACATATCAAATGATCTGTCACACCAGACAAAGCAATAGCAACAATACAGCTGAATTTTGCTTTAATGTTGGTATCTAATGGAAGGGAACACAAAGACTGTAGCTGTGTTCGAAATAGCATACTTCAATACTATATAGTATGCTAAAAACAGTATGTGAGCAAAGTAGAATGTCCAAATTCATAGACTTAAAACAACAGTATGTGAGAAGTACCCGGATGACCTACTACTTCTGAAATGCGCATCGGATGGATGCTACACTATCCCATGATCCCACGAGAGAATTCATAAATGTGAGTGGAGCGACGCAACTGACATGAGTAGGTCACAAGATCATGACAAAATGGTGGATGTAGCACATCCGAGTTGCATTCATACTACTAACATTTATACCATACCTGCCAACATTTGTCTCTGAAAAGAAGAAATAACAAAATGGGAGGGTGGCGGTAGATGGGTCTGAAATACGGGAGGCTCCCAGGAAAAATGTGAGTGTTGGCAGGAATAATTAATACTGTTTAGAATATACTTTTCTAATGACCGAGTAGTACGTTTAAATTCAAATGCAGTAGCTACTGAGTAGTAGGCGGTTTCGGACACAGCCTGTATTTGTACATTTGGTTTCTGTGTAGAACTGCATTTTCATCTGTTATTATTTAATTAATACAAAATTTGTGGGTGAAGCTAAACAGGCCACAACCTGTCATTATGGCTGCATCATATAAGCTGCTTTAAGGCTTGCAAGAAGTTCTGAGTTCAGAAACCTACAGTGTTTTAAAATACAATGAATGACCTTTCATATTCAAAAAGATTAAGGGAATTTGGATTTCTCAGTTTATGACCCCTTTAACTGCACCCATAACTGCTGAACCTCATCTATTCTAAATGTGTAAAACAGTGTCAGTTAACTGTATGCAGATAATAGTAATAGTGGTCTTACACTCATAAAGGTGTCAAACAAACAACACCATATGAAGTACCAGCTGAAACTGAAGGCAGGGGACATGGTGTCCTGTGGGGTATACCAGAGCATGATGTATGACAGGATCCCGAGCGGCATGGTGAACACAATCCTGTATATAGAGCACAAATTAGCACAGAGCAAGCATAATGTTGAAGAATATCTAACATTAAAAATAAATACAGTATACTGTTAATTTACATGCTCTAAACTAGTAATGTGTGTAAGCAAAGCACCCTGTGTTCAACCTGTGAAATATCTAAATGAAATAGATGTAGTGCTATACTGATATTACCCAGTACACTAACCAAGGAATGAGTTTGCCAATTCTGGTCCGGCCACTTTTGCTCACAGCATATCCAATAAGAGGATCTGTAACAGCATCCCAGGCTCGACCGAGGAAGAGAATGAGGGATGCATAAAATGCTCCCATCTATTGAAAAAACAGAAAATGATTCTCAGCCAATACTCACTCTGCCCCATTTTTAAAAAATCATTTGTATTATAAAAATGCTGTTTTATATAGAAACATGGTTCTTCCAAGCTGTAAGTACTCAACATAGGCTTCTAACTTTTGCAGCGCTTTACACTTACAGTATTTTTTACTTCCTGTGCTAACCATTTAGCAAAATACTACAGAAGTTGGCATGCAAACATGAATTGCAAATTGAGCTGCACCACAAAAGCATTTTATAAATACTCACACAGTCACAGTGATGAACTTTTTCCATAAGAAAATGAAATGCACATGGTTTAATGTTACAGTGTTTCATTTAACAAGACTCCCAACTACTAGGCTACACCATAATCAGAAAAACATAAGAAATCAAGAGATAAAAGGAAACCATAAAAACCAGGACAAAGAAAAACATGTTAGAATAAAAAGTATGTCATATTGTGTTTAAAATACCATATTTGAGAACATGCTTTAACAGTAAGTAAATCTCAAGTAAGTGATATGGCTGGTTGCATTATCTGGTACAAATGTGAGGGAGAATATCCTAGTTTTGAAAAGCAATGTAAATCCTCATTTTACACAAACACTAATATTATAGCATGTTTTTCTGGATCACTAACACAATAAATAGGTGTGTTAAAATCAAATGTTTTTCCTTAACATACATTTTCTTCAAATTTTTCACATCATATAATCATATATTTACATAATATAGACAGTTTTTTTGTACAGATTCATTATTCTATATATTGGCCAATTTAATGTGATGTCAATATGAGAAATGCTAGAGTAAAATCGAATTTCGTACACACAGCTAAACACCAAATATACTATTTCTTTTACTTACTTTCACAACATCCAGTAAAAAGATCTGCATGAAAAAGCCCTTGGCGTTTGCAGTCATTTGATAAGGCATTCCTCCAATGGCATAGCACAGTTTCCTGGACAAAGGGATGCCTTCTTTCTGCACGAGATCAACAAGTAAGCATCAGTGCCTCTATTTTGTGAATGTTGTAACAACAACGATCTTGTGAATATTACGTTAACAATGGAAAAAGTTGAAGTAGTCTAATCAAACGTGTTCTCTTGTTTAATAGGACCTGATAAAAACACTTTAAATTTCTCGATATAGTCTGCTCATTTGTAAAAAGCACATGTATATCATCACCCCAACAACAAAATCTTCTAATAAACGCCATACCGGTTGGTTGTCGTCATTTTCCGTGGCACAGGCGATACTGTGATCGGTTTGCTTTTCCATTCGTCCATTCCCAGTGCCGTTGGCCATCGTTCAGCAGCTTATGGAGAAGTTGCCCGTTATAGTTTTCTACTGCCTCTTATACTGATCGTAAGGTGGGCGTGGTTCTTAGTTCCTCTGCCTATCTAAGCGTTTGAGGATGCTCAAAAAAGGACAAATGTTTCGAAATAACATGTCGGTTTCTCTCTCGCACTAATTGTTCGACAAAGCATGGATATGGAAACTTTGAAGGTCAAGTTTGTGTTTTCTCTTGCATGTGAGTTTGTCCGTTTCAAACACCAAATTCAACTTGCATTTGTTTGTGTAAACTCTCGACAAACTTCCATTTTGACTGTTGAGTAAACATATACAAAAAGAGAAAATAAAAATCTACCGTTTAATCTTTTATTAATGTTTAGTTTATAGCTCTGTCACTATTACACAAAAGGGAAAACATAAAAATTTGAAACTGAAATAAATATAAAACATTTTGGCTGGAGAAGGAAAATGAGCTATAAATAGGACCAAACGGAATCTGCGCGCATTTTTGTGATATTTCAGCGCAGAATCTTTTTTTAATCTGCGTATTAATGCGGAATGATTTTGGGAGTATCATAACTAAATTAATATATGAAAAAAATACCATTTAACTTTTTATTTAATGTTTACTATGCAAATCCAATTTAATCCACTTTATTTGGTAAACAAAGCAAGTCTCTTATATAATATATCTACTAAAAGACAGAAAATATTACATTAAAAAACTGTATTGTAAATAAATCATTTGAATATTTTCAGATTAGTCAGTAATATTACTGAAATTAGTTTAAAAACCGAATAACTATAAATTTACACATATTTACACACGTAAATAAATAAAATCCATGGGCTAAAAATCTGCGCAGATTCCGTGTGGGCCTAGCTATAAATGCTTATAGTGGGTATGCATTTTTTTAAAGGTCACTAATAATCTAATCTTTGGACTATTAATATCATTTAAAATCAATAAAGTCTGTACTTCAACAAAAGTACACATTTGTACATATTATACCTTTATTATTGTTTTATTATCTGTTGCATATTTCATACAACTGCCTTTCTCTCTCTCTCAGTTCAATTCAAATCACTTTATTGGCAAAACATACATGGGAACATATTGCCAAAGTGTACATAGCAGGGGGGAAATATGTCAATATAAAAATTGTAGTAATAACAATATTGATAAAAATAATAACAACAATAATAATATACATTTTTAAAAAATACTGTAAATGCAATATTAGGCAATATATATATTTTATATATATATATATATATATATATATATATATATATATATATATATATTTATATATATATATATATTTATATATATACACACACACACAGTTGAAGTCAGAAATATTAGCCCCCCTTTGATTTTTTTTTTGATTTTTTAGATATTTCCCAAATGAGGTTTAACAGAGCAAGGACATTTTCACAGTATGTCTGATAAGATTTTTTTCTTCTGGTTTTGGCTTGAATAAAAGCAGTTTTACATTTTTTATGAACCATTTTAAGGACAAAATTATTAGCCCCTTTAAGCTGTATTTCTGTTGGATAGTCTACAGAACAAACCCTCAGTATACAATTACTTGCCAAATTACCCTAACCTGCTTAGTTAACCTAATTAACCTAGTTAAGCCTTTAAATATCACTTTAAGCAGTATAGAAGTGTCTTGAAAAATATCTAGTAAATATCTAGTAAAATATTATTCACTGTCATCATGACAAAGATAAAATGAATCAGCTAATAGAAATGAGTTATTAAAACTATTATGTTTAGAAATGTGTTGAAAAAGTCTTCTCTCCGTTAAACAGAGAGAGATAAACGGGGGTGAATAATTCAGGGATATATATATATATATATATATATATATATATATATATATATATATATATATATATATATATATATATATATATATATATATATAATTTATTTATGTATACATGTAAAACAATAAATACATACATAGATTTCTAAAACATAATATAACAAAGATATGTTTACTCTTTTTTTTTTTGGCATGTATACAAAAGTTTGTGGCATTTATAAATCTAATGGGCTACTAGATACGCAGTGAGTCTTGTATATTAATCACAGTGAAGCAGGAAGTGTGTTTTAGTCTTCACTGCTCCTGATCTTTAGATTCTCTCTCCTCTATAGACTATATTTTTTTCTTCTCTCTGTCTCTCTTTCTCTTGCTCTGATTTGGAAAAATATTTTTCTGTATTTGAGTGGATGTTGGGCTTTGCTGTAAATAGTTCTAAATCTAAAACGTTCAATAAATTAATACAAAAACAAAGGTTAATAATCCAAATAAAAAGGTGTCTTGATTTAATATAAATACAGGTGTTATGGATTCGCCACAACACCCATTGGATTTTCCAGTACCCCAGATTCCTCTCACCTGCTTCTGATCATTGTCATCTGTACACTCCCCAATCAGCCTATACTATACTATAAATGACACTGACACACAAAGCATGTTGTCCTGTCTCAGTTCACATACTCTGAACTTACCTTCTTTATGCCGACTTCATCATCTCCTATGTTCTCCAATGTCTTCCCTGACACGTCCACGTCCATCATTCCAGAAACTTCTACTCAGACAAGGCAAAAACTTTCACTAAGCCGATGCTGATCGACCTGTCATTCATCTCTCCTGTCAATAAACAAACCAGTTCAGTTTGATTCCTCCTGACCACCAGAGAGTGTGCTAATCATCACCAGCTAGACAGGGCGAGATAGTATACCAAATTGCTCACATGTTGACATTGGCAGATCCACAAGGGCGTGAGTTATTCTAGCTATTCTAAGCCTCTTTCGCTTATGGCGAGTTCAGACTGCATGATTTTTAAAGTAGTCATGTCACAGATGTTTTCACACTGCATGATTATCTGGGCTAGCATTTCGTCGCTTCTTTGTTTACACTGCAAGATGTATCGACAACAGAGTGTTTCACACTGCATGACTTTAGAATAGGAAGAATTGCTGACAACTTTGTCCAAGTTAAATTTCTCACATCCAAACATACACGAGAAGTGACATGAAAACAACGCGAGGTCCAGTCATATATCTTTTTATTAACTTTATAATGAGAAAGAAGCCTTTAGTGGGGTAGAAAATCTACATACTTATTTTTGCTCACCTAGCTTTTTAAAAGTTTGCAACTTTTTTCTTTTTCCATAGTTTTTCCTCCGTTTCTTGGGACCAAATAAACTAAAAATGAGCCCTTTTAACTTCTCTCCAAACCTCCTGCTGGCCTGCAGGTACCCATACCAGTAGACACTGCTCTCTCATTGGCTGTAGGCAATTGCTGATGTTTTTTTCAATCTGAACACATTTCACACGGCATGATTTAAATCGCTGATAGATCCAGATATTTAGCATGCCAAATATCTCACGGGCATCGGTGACTCATCTGCGATTCTCTGAGATCGTGTCTTGGATAGTTCACACTGTGTGATTGTTACCCGTGTGAACAAGTATCGATTTGCCTGTGATTTCAGGCATTTGTGGGCGATTTCTCAAAACCTGTCGGAATCAAGTCAAAATCAGGACTAAAATCATGCAGTCTGAACTCGGCATTACTTGCTTGAGAACAGATCATTCTCCAATTGATTTTGTGTAGTAAGGAGTTTCTTTTACTTTGGATCAGATCACTTCAACATCAGTGAGGTTTTACCTAATAAATTTAGCACATGCTAATGACACCACTTTTGTTTCTCAGTGCTATCTGGTGACTGTGCTTTTATGGAGCTATTAATTTATATTAATGGTGCTCTACTTTCTACTCTTACTGCCATACTTCTGAGAGCCTATTGCCAAGTGTGGCTTGCACAGTCTAATGGTGCACTCACACTATGCTATGCGAACCGTGCCTTGGCATGTTTCCCGGTTCGTTTGACAAGTGTGAGTGCTCCAAATTGGGCCAAGGGATGGTTCAGTTAGCCCGCCCTGGCCCAGTTGAAAGAAATGTGCCAAAGCACGGTTGGGTTGTGTGTGCTAAGCGCACCTGAGCCCAAAATTGAAAATACAACGTCACTTTTAAGTTTCATTTGGATCTATTAACTATTCTTACCGTTTTATGAACACGAACTGTCTTAGTGTATTAAAGACACAAACCTCTTGCTGCACAACAACCTCCTCCGCAGCTCGGGGACTTTTATGATCATTTACGAGCTCTTTCTGTTAAACTGAACAGTCGCATCATCGATAATGTAAGCGTTCTCAGGTTCGGAAGGCAAAATGCAGTGTGAGTGCAGGACATCAGAGGAGAGGGGAGAGGGCACAATCGTGCTTTATCATGGTTCAAGGCACCTGTACCTAGCATGAGCACGACTTCTAAGTTGCCTTAGACTAGGGAGTGCAAGAAAACTTTAAAAGAATTTCTGGTACACATCTTTCATGTACACATCTTTGGACCTAATGTCTCCAAGTTTCTGGGTAAAAGAGTTAAGTTGCCAGAGACTACTTGCCACCTATTCAGAACCACTGGAATCCTGTCTTCAAAGTTCCACAGATTCAAGTGTATTACTGATTTTCAGTGGGATAGGAATGAGTCCATTAGTGTTCTACCACACAGTATCTGGGTTCAAAGATACCTTGTGTTGCTGAGAAGATGCACAGTGTTTTTAACCGCATCAGCTGCAAATGCTATGGGTCCCATTTCAGCATACCCCCATTGCCTCTAATAGTCACACAAACAGCATGAGCTTGTGGGGCCAGTAGTCGTGAGTTTTTCAAGCCTACATCTGCCTTTATTGGCATCAGACAGTAGATCCTTGGATTTGAGCTACTCTGAGCAAGGGATATATCCTGCAATTTCAACATCTACATTTTTAAAGATTTTTAAAGATCCACATTAATAAGGGATGCAATTCTTCCAGTGGCTTTTTCTCTGCAAATTTGTTCTCTATTACAGGAGGGAGCAGTAGAAAGAGTTCACCTCCTTGATCAAAGGGAAGGATTTTATTCAACTTACTTCCTAGTTTCTGGTTACCAAGATTCCTGATTCCTTCCTGTTTTTTGACCAATTCACAATTTTTGACACTTAAACATTATTCTCAAGACTCCTCCCTTTCTAAATGATGCATCATGTGCAGCCAACATTCTTTGTGATGTCTTGAAGTAAGACATTTTTAAAGATGATTTTCACATTGCGTTTGTTCCTCTTTAGCGTAAAAAAA